AATCCGCGAAAAATCCCAAAGCGGCACACGCCGTATCATTGAATGAGAGGGGCCTAATTATCCTTTAAAGACTCTCCAGTTACAAAGCACTTATGTTCCGTCCCTAAAACTATCCACCATATGTCCCTTCTGAGTCATGGAGCATGCGCAGTGGAGCCGTGCTTGCAAACCTCGACTTGAAGCGAATCAGCGGTGCGTGAAATTAGAAAATAATAGCCAGGAAAACCCATGAAATAAAATTTCGTCTGTCGATTTTTGGGGGAGAGACCCACTAAAGATTATATGAAGAACACATTAGATCGAGATTAGAAAAGTTTTGAGGACCAAATCTCGGGGGATGTGACCATTACAGCGATTTGCCAGATTATCTCGTGCAGTGCACGTGGAGTTGCGTTTTGCATGAGGACGAGTAATTGGACGGCATATGTTGAGAAAACCGTGTCCTTATGGCGACACGAGACAGAGGGGGAGGGTGGTGAAGGCTGAAGGGAGGAGTGGGCCGCCCTTGTTCTAGCCACCCTCGTGGGAGACGGGCATGGACGCGATATGCAAATGAGGGAAAATTTAAACCTCTTTAAGTCGTATGATCAGAAAAGGGAAAAAACACAGGCGTATCCATTTCGTTGTATTTTATATTTTTTTATATCACACAATCGACACTTCCAAACTTCTGTCACCGTATCCTGGCCCGTCTCCGCGACGTCGGTAACGGGAGAACTGGGAATACGCCTACAAAGTGGTGTGGTAACGGTCAGATATAAACAACACGTGTTCCTGAAAGTTAAGTCTTAATGACGTCGAGCCTTATCAGGACGGTCGCAACTGTATCATGTTTTCGGGGGTGGGGACAAATAGCTGATACCTTATCTATGATTTAATATCAAGAATCGATTCAAAGGTATCTGGATTTTAACAGGGAAATAAAATTATCAAGACAAAATTATAAAGTCATTTTTTTTCTCTCAGTTGTAAATGTAAGGTGTTTTAATTTATCGTTAGTGCTGGTTGGTTTCTGTTGCGATGAACAGATCTACAGATTTTGTAAACTCCCTGAAAATATAATTGATTATACCTGTTTCACTCAATTTCATAAATCCCAATGTTGTATGAATATTACAAACATTAATATGTTAAATTAGCCAGTGTAAAAACAGTAATCCAGCGATTTGCCCTAATTGTAATAACTAGACTCAGTCACTTGTATTTTAACCATAAGGGAAATGAGGGAATAAAAATGAAAAGAAAATAATGACTTTGCCCGTGGGGATTCGGGGTCAGAATAGGTCCCAGCAACCTATGTTTATCGTTAGAGACGACTCAGTGGATAGGGTGGTCAGGCTGGGTGACGTTGTTGGTGACGTCGTATCCCGACGGCGTGAGGTGCTGCTCATAATTTCAATCACTGGTTTGTCCGATCCAGACTCGATTTCTTCTACCGACCGCCGTCAGATGGATGGAAAATTGCTGCATGCCTTCATAAACAAAAAAACACCATGTACAGTTACGTTTTAGTACAGGATGGTATATCTGTATCAATATATTTTTTTCATGGCGTAAAGTTTCACAATAGAGTTACATAACTTAAATTGTCATATTTGCCAACTACTGCATACAGCTATGAACTATTTTTTGTACTTGGTTCAAACAAACTCCTGCTTCACTGCTTTCTCGGCATCATTTTGCATACGTTATTCGTCAACCTTTACCTTACCATTTCCATTTAGCAATCAACATATCAGTTTTAGTATATTAATTACCAACTTGTCGAAAACTGACACGAAATAATGTATATATCACATTAAAATATAACATTTATCTACATTCATAATTTTCCTCCATACACTTACCTTTGTATTATATTAAGCCATCACATGTCTTTGTGCTTGTTGAGGATGATACATTTCTTTTTAGAAGTCAAATTGATGGATGTATGATGATTCACATCATATATGTACATTATTAAATGACAAATCATTTACAATTTCAAGTAACTTCCGCATATATCAGGCCTTAAATTGATAATAATATTTGCCATTAAATAAATATTAACAACATGTAAGACACTAGGGTGGTTTATGACCCGTGCAGGTATCTGTGAGTTCCTACGGCGGCGCCTTCCTAATAGATTTCTAAAGGGAAACACTACTTGCGTTTTGAATAGATAAACAGCATAGTAAACAGTATTGTACACGCGAATATAAACAGGCATTTTTATAGGCAGATCAGTCAACCATAGTGAAAAGCACTACCTGCTGATTCCAACCTAAGAGCTGGACTAATGAATCGTGAGACTTTAAGCCTCTCAGAACACATGCTTGAATTTCTCCCTTCGCCTCAACCACGGACGGTTTTAGTCAAAGACAGACAAGTGGCCGAACTAACGAGGGAAAATGGCAATCCCGTCAGGGCACGGGGGCATCCAGGCATAAGCAATTTAATAAAACTCGCCGCTTCGAGCCTGTTAAATACTGAAACAATTACAGGGGATTTTCCCTGATGTAAACACCTCCAAGCAAGGCCTAATGCCAAGGATTTGAAGCTATGAGGAGAATGACAATTGCCATACTATTCCTGACAGCATGGCGTGTGGTTAGTCATGGTACTGGTTAACCAAGAGGAACTTTTCATTCTTAAATTGGCTAATCGTGTAAGACCGACGGGCAACCGGGTGGCGAGTTGACTTTGGAACAATATTTCTATACGAGCCATGCGGGCAGTATAATATCGGGGTAGCTTTGGCAATATGGTTACTGTTTCTAAGTTTGTTGTTCGGGGTATTTCCTGGTTGAGCGTTTTTATGTAGAAGCTGATGTGTGCACTTCATGCTTTTTTGTGGGCGTATGTTTAATTCAAGTGGTGTTTACCTCGCGGAAACAATACTCTTTTTCTAAAGTTCGTGCATGGAAAGTTGTGAAAAGAAAGTTGTTGCCATTCTTCAATAGTTCTCGTGCAAATGTTCATCTAATTTACCCATCAAATATATACAAATAGGTTGGTATATCAAAGCTATACAATAATAATAATAATAACAATAACAAAGTTTATAATTCTACTATTTAGATACAACTTTGGAAGTAAACTAACACCTGTACCTAGAACGAACAAAACATCTCTTCGGACACTTTTCAAATACTGCGTCAAAACAAATCAGAACCGAAACGCGATTTTTTTAAGCCTACAAAAAGTCCGATTAAATCAACAGTTACCAAACCTTCATACCCAATGGGCCGTTTTGAGCATATGTACATACCGTTTTAGTGACTGATACACGTGTCTCGTCTAAATCACTATTCGTTAAAGCAGTTCAAAGGATTTTCCAAACTACAAAGGAACACGGGCAATAGTTTACTTGAAATTACAATACAATAACACGACTCTGTATGACTGACAGCGAATGCTGACATCTGTCTGCTTGTGTTCAAAGTGCAGCAAATTCCAAGTGTAATTTATATCTGTTTACTCTCTCTTTCATTGATATTGCACCGGAAAGTTTACGCTTTGTTAATGCCGAGGCCAATATAACTCTCATGTTTGAGATGGGGCTATTTCTAAAAGGCCATTGAAAGCTATACATTGTCCTTCGCTCAGTACAATAACATACGCACGTTCGTTGAAAGGGCGTGAAGTTGTTTAGGGATCTCCAAACTAGCCCTAATACCTTGATAACCAATAGTGGATTGACAGCCACAAACTCATACCTTTCACAATTTGCGGTTTTCCAAAGCCATGAAAAGGACTCAGTTTGAAATTAAATAAACAAATTTCGAGTGGAAATATAAGAAGCACACACACGGTGGCTTAATAACCACCACCTAGGCGATAACAAAAGGCCCCGACCGGCGCCCGATTCCGTCAATGACTACCCAAGGTACCAGAGAAGAGAAATTGACCCAAAGGCTGTGGCCTACTAGTGGATGTAGCTATTGTTTCCTCTGGACAGATGGCGTGAAGGAGAGAAGAAAATAGATTTGCTTGACAGCTCGGGTAGGACAATGAGGGGGGATCCTCCCCAATCCTTAGCCGTGGGCTCGTCTGGAATACCGGAGACAGTGGCTCAATAGCTCCACGCGCCACACTATTACAGGCATATGTTCAACGCTTGCTCAAACTTTTAGAATACTTAATCAACATTAGATAGTCTCGATGTGGACGCACGAAGTGTCCTGGATGGCTAGGTCTTACCTGAACGAGCTGCTTGTTTCCTAAGGGGTCCATCTGTCAGAATCTAGGTAACTGTAGCCTTAATAAACTTCCTGTGATGAAATGCCTCGAGGGAGTCATCAATGAAGAAACACCTCAATTGGTCACGGCTATTGATCGGATGAATACCTTTGAATACAGCTCGCTTTTGTTTTTGTGAAGGCGTTTTTAGAAAACAAGTCGTTACCGGATACCCCGTAGCGAGTCCGAAAGAAACTGAGATTTTCTTTAAGAAGTTAGCCGTGAGAAATATTGAAGGAATTGTATTCTTGGCAGGAAACAGACGCTTCTACCCCACCGAGTTTAATATCCGTTTTATCTTAAAGGGCATTAACAGGTTTCATTAGTGTAATTGTGACTTTATTGTTCAGCCTTAGTATAAGCAGGGGGCGTACTAAAGACAGTGTTCATATGAACGTGAAGACCTATACTTGTAGGTGTCTGTGACGTTCTTATCCATGTTGCTTCTAACAAGTGATCATCCACCATTGAGATAGCCTCTCGCCCAGTAAACAGCTGATTGCCGCATCCCCAGGAGACGGTGGGAGGAGATATATACAACATTTATCTCAGGTGAGTGACTAAACCAAAGAGAAATTAATTAACAACTTCCCCTGAGTGACAGTAAGGCTCTTCATCGTAAACGATTCCATCAATACCTTTCGAACGAAAGCCCAATCGCCGGAACGTCGCTGTCAGAGTTCCAGCCAATCAGTGAGCGGGGAATTATTATATGCACGTTTGTGGGACGATTAGCTCGCTTCCGGGGTGATATTCCCAGTGCATGATTAAGCAGTTCCCTTAAAAGGACGCAGGCGTGATATCACTTCCACCTCGCTTGGATATTCCTCTCAAAACACACTCGGCTTCATGATGTCGGCAGCTCGTGTCGCGTGCTACTGATGACGCTGTGTTTGGGTGAGTAGCGAACCACGCTTTCCCACTATTAGTATCTCATATAAACTTTCTTCGTCTTTACGGTAGCGTCACAAGCACTTGACGTATCATCGCCAGCTTCATCCGAGATTTACGTCAGCGGATGCCTATATTGCATTAAGTGTCAAGGTATTTGCGGTTACTGTAATAAACTTATTTCGGAAGGTTAATAAGCTTTTTGTGAACTTTGATTAATGATCTTGTTGACACTGTGTACTTTAATCTTATTAGCATCTGTCTGGAACATTAATTTTCACAGATGTATGTTTTTGTCACGTCATTGTTTGAAATTTACTTTATTGTCATTATTATTAATAATATTTAAATTAATGTATGATTATATACTTCCTTAAGCTTTAACTATTGGTGTAGATTGGATTGTAATCGTTGAATCAAGAGTTTTATTGAAATATGCAAGGTATACTTATTTGTCAATTTGATAATATTGAATATAATGCCGTGTGATGTAATATACGTTTTATACCCGAGGCATTGTATATTTATATTGTAAGTAGGAACTGGATTTATACTTCTTTATACTAGAACTTGAATGGTTAACTTAAAACAGTTTAGAATGAAATGTACACACACAGAAGGTTACTTTTTGTGATTGTTATTTTCGTACTGTACTACAAAGATCATTGAGATTACAGATTAACGTTGTGGTAGATAATCCTAATTTACACGGTATTTAATCCGTTTACAATGGACCTTGTGTCAGTGACGTGTACTGTAAACATCATCATTAGTATAAATGATTCATTGATATTTTATTAAGTGATAAATTGTTTTGACATTATATTCCTTTGTGAGCCAGTTTACACCCATTAATAGCACGACGTTAGTTTGGAGTATATTCCAAAAGTATAGTATATTCCACAAGCAAATAAAATCTCAACCACGATGGCATGGTTTTAATTCCTTGTGGAATAAGGTTCAAATCAATTGTACTTATCATCAAACTATCGTCGTGTCATTGACATTGTGTGTAATCTTATTATGGGGAAACCGCTTTATGATTTACTGACGTGTTACATCAGAAGATCATCTTATGTGTATATGAAACACCAAACGGATAACACAATACATACAAGTTGTACTATCTGTGTGATGCATCAGATAACATTCACATGTATACTTTGATATAGATAATCCTGTTATCTTCTTGTTATCTTTCTTCAACGGATCATATTTTTAGAAATGGACACGGTTTCAACAGATTGTGTTGATATACATACACTGCTAGTGGTTATCGATAACATCCGAGTATATATTGATGTCTGAACTTGACCGCGACACTCTGTCTACCGTGTCAGAGAGGGGCGTTTCTTTGTATACTATAAATATACTATATAGGTGTTACATGTACCACATTCTTTACATTGGGCTACATATGTTAATATATATTATGCTGTTTAATCTTAAGCTTTGTTATATGGGTACAGTTCAATTCACAGTATATATAACAAAGGTATAAATGTGAGTGTATATATCTGTACATACACATAAAGACTTAATTTAATCTAAGAAAGATGATTGTGCATTTTTACAATTCTTTCATGTATGCAATGAAACATTAAATATGAAATAAAATTTCTGTCAATATGCAATATTATCGTAGTCGACACTAACAATCTATCATCATCATTGAGATAAATTGTGTAATAATAAATAATATATTTTAACCATCTAACATGTATGTACCATATGTATCTAATTGTTGATCTTTTAAAATAGAAATCTATAAGTATTTACCCCTCCTCTCTTACTCTGACAGGCCAACTATTTGGGAAGGGCATTACTTTAGTTTCGTGAAGATCTTTCTGTGTTCAACAATCTGAAAAAAACTAATGTTGACACGACTCCAGTTTGGTTTCCCCGCATATCCCTGATCAATCAAATCAAACATATCTCAATTTTTGTTCTGTTGGTGAGGCTGTCACATTAGAACTTGCTCCAATCTCTTATAGTATGATTAACGATAGGCAGCCAATATGTTACGTTCCGATAGCAAGCAGCAATCACGCTCTGTCAATTTCTCTCTGGGTCTTGTAACTTATCGTTGGTTAGTGGTACAACCTCGACAACTTCAAGGCGAAATTCAGATGCTTTGGGGCTTTTCAGGTATGCACCACATTGTGCGTTTCACATTAATCAGAATTTATGTCAAACGGAAGAAACCACGGGAATTCGTGGGTGAAGATTTGGCGATGCAAATTACAGATTGGAGCACTTTGTCAAGGAATCACGGACATCACCAGACACGCATGTTGTGTCCCTCAATTGATAAGATACATCACAATTAGTAGGCTCTGTAGGTTTTAATCGTGGACGGTAAATATATTGCAAAATGCTAATCGGGTATGAAAAATTGATAGTATTTAGGTTAAGGCAAGCATCAACAAGCAATATTTAAAAGGATGAGTGTGTGTTTGAAATTGCTCTTTTAATATAACTTAATGGGATTTTTAGCTTCTTCATCTTGATGCTATTTGTTTACGGCCTGGATATTGGTCTTCAGAATCCCTGATGGTGGAAAAAGGTACATAAAACCGAAGATCTGCTAGAAGAATTGTCTCCAGTACTTCTGATAAGGTGAGTGATAATGTAATAGAATGTGTGATTGTTGTGTGGAGGCGCAATGCATTAGATAATACCCAGACAATGGCGTACAAGAAATAATGTGCATGGATGTAAGTTTGTTTTTAAAAAGTAAGTAAAACGTTACTTTTTGACAAATTATGGACGATTTGTAATATTATTCAATTCCGTATATTACATGGTTCTGATGCGCTATTAGGCCGCATCGTTAAGCCTAAGTACAATACAGCCATGTTAACAGGTGTATCCTATGGACGCGTACTTAACCTTACGCCTGCTTACGTAGATAACCTTTAGGACACGATATGCCCCATTGGTCAGCAGACTGGCCAGGCTAGTGGCATATGGTCACATGTTGTGTAATGAGTCAGCCAGATAACTAGTATCATTCTCACACCCATTTCTGATCACAATCTCAGCCAAGGTGTAATTTCCCCCTTAACAACTCTCTAAATATCGTTTGCACATTCATGAAATCGCCCATCGTATTTCAGACTCTTTCATTATAGAATTCATCCCTGGATTAATCTTGAACAAATCACTCTCATTATGCGCAAGCAAAGCGTGTCTCCGTTTTTCCTCCATACAGTCACACGTTACGGAGGGGGTATGATCTGTGATTGTTTGACCACCGTTTTGACAATAAGATGGGCTGGCTTTGTCTCCATTTGGGTTGATAACCCCGGCTCGTTATCCCGTCAACGCGTGGCGACATCTGCTCAACAAAGGGAGATAATAAGAAAAGCTATTGTATCACGCGCGAGGGTCGGGTTAACTATTCGTGTGCCGCCAAGCGTTAGCGTTACACCGTAACGTGTGCGTAAGGGAGGTTCCCTTGTTAGCCATTGATGAGGGTTACCCGAGGCTATGAGATCTCAGTGTCAAATAGCACAGGAATCTGAGACGGGTGGCGACAGCGATTGTGGAGACATGTAGAATGCTGATAGAGAAGAATGACGTCTTAACGTCATGCCAAATCGATCAATGGTGTCAGTGGTAGGCAATATTCTAAACGCCTGTTTTCTTTGAAAGAAATCCAAATAACAGAATGTAAAAATCGTTTTATCGTCAGTATTTGCGACACTTAACACACTTTTCTCCTGTGATATAATGAATTGCCCAAATTACACAATAAGCAAGCATTTTAAGATGAATCATTTAGCTGGAACAAAGTTTAAAAATCGAAGATACTTTCTCTTGATAGTTTCATTGCACAAAACGTCGTTTCGAATATGTACAAATGAAATAATTTCTTTAATAGTCAAAGTCATCTGAACTTTATAGAAGGATGAAGTTTTATAGAAGGATCAAGTTTAAACGTCGCCCTATAAAACCTTAAGACATTATAATGAAAGGATCATACAGTCGGATCATACAGCTGAGAATAAACTATCATGCACTTTGTCTTCTTTCTCGTGTACTAAAACAGCTTTAAAATTTCTAGTTTTCGTTTGTCGTCAAGTGCAAGCCAGTTACTTCACAATGGTGTTTATTCGCCTCTTTTACCACAATCAGTGCTATCCGGCAGTGTGAGGCTAGGCTTACGGCTAACACCAAAGTAATAAAACCAGTAATTGAATTGGAAAATATTTCTCGTGTGTTTCTTGATAATGTATCTCCTCAACGAGAGGAACCGTAAGGTTCATCTAACAAATGTTTAGTAATTTGATTACGGACGCTCACGCGACGGATTACCATTATTTGCTTCAACTAACTCGTCAAGACAAGAACAATCAAAATATATTACATTTTTCTGATAAAAAGTTACAGCACGCCCGGGGGAGAAACAGTAACTTGTTTTCTCAAGATTGAAATCCATTTTACAGCAATATCGAATTATTACTTCATCAATATGTTCTAACATCCCCTTAATTTGGATCGTTCCAAGAAAAATGAACTTTTTATGGCCTTTCGGTGCCTTGTTCTAGTTTTATTTGACAGAAACCGAAATTGCATGGAGATGGATTATTGTGGACAATATTTTTAAAGGGAATTGTTGCTAAACACGACCAAGGAAGATGTTTTACCGATTATGTGTAAATCCCGCGGATGTCCGTTTCCTCGTCTATCTTCATCGTTTGGTCGTAATCTCCAGAAATTAAGAGTGAAATGGATTAATTTGTACTGTATGTTATTTTCCCGGGTGACCCCTTGCACGATTTTTGTCTGCTTCCCCCAGACACAAATGAAGAAAACACTCCAGTTCGTTCCGAGTTTATCTTAATAGAGAAAGACGTATTTGCACACAGTATGTTTTGTGTGAAATTCACGTATACCAGTGTTGGTTTAAGAGAATGGGAATAACGGTGAATTATTTCGTCAAGGGGAGAGATGAAGTGCATTACTTCGAGGAAAGTCAACACAGGAAAATTAAAGGTTATGCTTTTCATCGCCGGGAATTGATTCATAAGCTCATGTCAAACAGACAATCAAACTTGAAATCGCTACGATGAATTTCCTATAATGGGGGATCCGTTTCATAAGCCTTGTCGTCAGTTGCCTTATGTTAAGAACAATAGGCATGATCCAAAACACTTTCAATGAGCTTATTCTAAAATATTATTAATACGTACAAGAAGCTGATGGGGACATATATTGATTGTGAAACTTATTTAATGCACGACTTCTGTGTTTATTAATTTATGTGAGTAAACTTTTCACATTGAATTCCTAATTTGTTGCAAACGTTAAATGGCTTCTCGTATACAGATTACGCCAGATTTCTCATTATATAACTTTCAAAAGTGTGGCTTCTTTTTTATATCATTACAATCGTTGTAAAAATCTTGAAATATACCTCCATACGGTCGTCACAGATCGTTTGGTTTTCAATCACCTGTGTCCGTCTCTAGCATTCCGCAACATGTAGATGAGCCAATTCGTAGCTGAAACTATTAATTTGAAGTAGGGTGAGATCATCCGAAAGTAGCTATTTGCCTTTGTTGCCGGGCGTTAGTGGTATTTGGTAGTATCACGAACCGTGGTCCTGCTTATGCCCCGAAACGGACCGAGGAAATCAAGTAGTCTTATAGAGAGGAAGGTTGCCCCCGATACAAGCAAACTAGCGATTATTTGTGAATCAATTTCTTCCCACTAAATCTCTAGAGATGAGAAAAACTCCTTTCCTTCAACTTGCCCTGATTGTATGTGCTCGGTAGTCGTACGAAATCAATTTTACGTGAGTGATCTATTAGCAAGCCACATTTGGTCTAAAGGATTTTTGTCGGAGAATTAGTTTGGCCGCTATTTCGCCCGTCGCAGTTAGCCCATCGCTAGCTGAATTCCGCCCTGACTAGCATATTGTCTTTACAGGGTATGTTTCCCCATTAAAGTCCCATGTCGCACCAAAATGAGATTAGATGGCAATAAAGGGGACAATCGAGGTGGCCCTTCGCTGAAATTATTCTCGGCAGGATTGTCTCTAATTTAAGGCTGAGAAGCAATCAAGGGGAGGTGGTGTGGAGACCTGTTACATCTTAATCAACCCATTGAGAAATGCACTGTGTCTTTGTATTTGACCGGCGAACTCTTTGATGCTACAATATGTACTCTAACTGCTGTCAGAGGCTTTCAAACTGATTTACAGCTTTCCTACTACTTTTGTAAACCAACAATAGAAATCTACTGAGTTGGAACTCAATTGTTGTTTTTTTCCATTTTCATCCAAATTTAAATTCCATTTGAAAATAGATAGGTTTCACCTAATCTTCTGGTGAACTTTTTTAGAGTTTAATTTCTGGAAATTGTTTGTGCCACGTGATTTTCAGATTTTATACCCAAAATAGCTTAAATGAACCAATACGTTATCGGACTCTCCCACTACAAATGTAATATATGGACCCATCTTCTCTATTTACTCTTTACGAACACTGTCTTTGAATTTTGAAAAGAATTAAAAGAATAAACTTGCAAATTAATTCTTTTAAATTCAAGTTCAATGAATTGCATAAATGTTTAATGTAATCCGGTAAAAAATATTTTTTTCCTTGACAACCTTTTCCACTTTGTCTTGAAACACGCAATTATTTAATTGATTTTTGTCTAAAAATAATTGATATTTATTTAGAATTACACGCAAGCAAGGTGGTGATTGTTTAATCAGACCAAGTTCTCTTACAGGACAAACATAAAACCATGCATTCTCACTCCGAAGCATGAGACACGTTTATTACCTAATAATAATGTTAAAACGTCACTTAAAGATATTCGTCCAAAAACTAATATGATTGTAGTTGATGGATTGCTCTTTACGTGTAAATCAATGAGAGCAATTATTGTTGAGACCAGAGGCCTAAATAAAATTTAGCCACTTTTTGAGAATTATTTGATAGAGGTCTGGCTGAGCAAAATATACCAGATGATTGTAATTAGGTTGAAAACATCCAATTTAATAGACAGAGATAGTATCCAAGGCATTCTGATAGAACGTTGCGTCACCACGCCTAGCTGAAACTCAATTAATTTCTAGATATGGTCTTCGTTGAAACTCTGGATCCGAGGTTTAACTCGGGTTATTTGTCCGACAATTAACCGTCGTCTTCGCGATTCTCCCGACATCTGCCTGACATTAATTTCGCTTATCTAGTGTCTGTGTTGTCGATGGCCCCAGCGTTACGCGTTTTGACACGATCAAGATGCCGGGAGATGAGCCAGAGGGTTATACAGAAAATTGGGAGGCTTTCCGTTTCGGAAATGGAATAATTCTTTCAACATTTCATCTCTAATAAGCCTAAATGACAGTATCATGCACTCCGGGGAATGGACACAAAGCCCTCGGCTAAAATAAATTACCCTCCTTGGGGGTCTGCGATACATATTCGGCAATTTGGCAAGTAAATTGACATATTTCGACCTGAAACGGAGAGACCATTTGGCTTTTGAGACAATATCTCGCTTGTTTATTGATTACAGATGAGAATAATGCGCATGCTTCAACCCAGTGTTTACGCGGCATATGGTCTTTGAATAAACTTGAGGTGACATCCCTTATCTGTCCTTTCTCTGACGTCACGAAGGGCCAGCTTTCGGCGTCTTGAGAGAGTTTTCTTAAATCGTTGATGAATTAAACGAAATTACTTGTAAATATTCCGCACCTGATCCAAATATCACTCCTCGACCATGCGGCCCTAATTCAGTTAAGCCACGGTGCCTCCACCGCCGGTTCTTAAGCTCGCCACTCTGACGATCATATTAACAATATCTGTTTTAATTAACGTTTTCTATAACGCTTTAAAGGGATTATTTCTCCATTTGGCTCCTTCGTGCATGGTTTCCTTCCGTGCACCAGAAAAGCCTGCTTTGGAATATGTTCAGACGGAGATAGCAGCCTAATTTATCTTCCAAGACGGACCTAATGAATTTCCAATTTGGGTGATTATTGAGTAAAACACTTGCGAGGTTGATACAAACATCTCGCTTCGTTAGTGTCATCTCGCATCCAGTCGGATGGAGCAAAACATATTCTCATTACGCAGCCCTAACACTTAAGGACCCAGTCGGTTATTAAATTTTACCCCGTCCCCTTTTTGGCTCAAGCAAAGCTTTTGGAAAGATTGATCAAGAACATTAGATTTGTCTCTCAATATCCACGGATGAGGAGAGGAGCCGGTTTCAGCTAAGCCCAGGCGACTGATCAGCCATATTGTTAGAGGCTGAAATAGCTTTGGATATTATGCCCAAACATGCTACAAGGCTAAACAGACCGCCCTTAGGAACTGTGGGGTTCATACGATTTGTAGTTTAAACATTCCGCTCTGATCGTTCATTTGCTTAAAAGCTGGGTCTGTCAGAGGTCGGTTTTTAAGTCTTGCAAAGAAATTGTTTTGTAATGACGTTTGTATGAAGGTTCGCTGTAATATATTTAGTGTTTTGTAGAGAATGACATTTTAAGATCAGTGTTTATCAAAATCTTCGCGTTTTATAATTGAGTGTTATATCCAACTGATATTTCTGTTTCAGTTAAACCAAAATGGGCGTGGTTCCAGTATCAGATATCGACTATGGTCAGATATTCGGGCCGTTTCCTTCGCATCTGGCAATGGCGGATCCAGCATATCTTATTGCAATGCTTACAAATGACAAGAGACAGGACGGTGTCATCATTAAGGTAAAATCTTCAATAAGGATGGAATGTCTGGCTCATGATATGTCGTAAATTAATATAGATTGTTGTTTTCTGGAAAAGTTAACCCCGTGAATGTATAAAATTTCGAATTTTAAATAAAGACTTATCGGATGTTATCAACTGCATTTGAATTCCCTACCAGTGGTAGCATGAAACACTTGAAAAGGAGTTACTTTGAGGTAGGGCTACGAAAAGTTGAAATAACGTTATCATATCACATCAACATTTACACTATCAGAGTATCTCTACAGGAAAACACCTCTTGATTAATAATAATAAATAATAAGTGCATTTATAATGCGCCAGATTCCATTCACCAAGTGGATGCTCATAGCGCTACACTATTATTACCCCGGTCAATGGATCAGTGAGCACTCGATTTTCATTCTCAGCTCCCTGGGGAGAATACAACCCAAGCTTGAATAAAATCATTGTCGCTTCTTCTGAGTTGATATGCTTCTTCTTCAGCTGGATCTCTCAGAGCGAAAAGAAGGAATCAAGGCAGTTGATTGGCTGCCGTACATTCACCCAGCCCGAAACGAGGAGGAACAAAACGTAGAAGCCTATATGAAGGAGGGCCAGGTGTACTACAGGACACTGCGGATCGTGAAGGCGGGAGAGGAGCTGCTTGTTTGGTACAGCAAGGACTTCTGTCAACTCCTTAACATCCCGGATGTAAAACGGCACATACCGAAAGGTAACGGAGTTTCCCCTTTACACTATATATGTCTGAAGTCTTCATCTTCCCGAGGCAAGTCTTGAGCTCGGGTTAACTGTTAAAATCCTTTGTTGACCATGGTAAATCGCCCTGTGAGAAGGGCTATATGCCACAGTGAAGACCATGCTCTTGGGATACGGTGCATGATGAATCTAAAAGAGAATTAGTAAGGTTTGAAGCCGCTTTCAGCAATATTCCATTTTTGGCTGAGGGCACCAAAAGGGGCTTCATACACCTGGGGAATTGAACCCGGACCTTCGGCGCTTCCAGCAAACGCTTTGGGTAACCTGGGGTCGAGTGGGAACAGTGGATGTTTAGTGTTGGTACTTTCATGAGGTGATAGGGAATACCAGCTGTTCGTTCGGGCATCTGCTTGATGGAATATTCGAGCTAGATCTCTGCTCATACTATCGACCACTAGTTGGTCTGATCCAGGCTCGAGTACAGACATGACATTGCTGTACAAATTTCGACATGCTAAATTGCCGGACAAAAGAAAGAATACGCCCATGTTTGGTCGGTGGCTAAAATTGAAACAAATAAGAAATGGTTATTCGATGGTCATGCCTTTGATACGGGTGTTTTGGACAGTAAGTTTGTAGTGTTTCGTCGACTGTTTTCAGTCTAGTAACGTTTAGTAACAGTTGTAATGTTTTGGTCAAATCAATTTCAAGTGTATACTTTCATTTTCCCGGCAGTTTAGTATGAAGAAATTGGTTGAAAATTGAATAATTTTATATATATATATATATGCATGATGTGGTAGATACTTAAGGTAATGAATTATGAAATTGATATAGAGAACGTCTCAGTTTTACTTTTTTCAAATTTTTTAATCAAATTCCTTTTTGTTTGCAGACGAAGGCTTCATATGCCCTCAGTGTGGTGAAGTTTTTGAGCACGTGTTTCCAATGAGGGCACATCTCAAGTTTCGGTGTACTATGAGGGCGGCAGATATGCGCAGTTTGATTCAAGATGCTTCCGCAAAACGGCACCTAGAAATTTCAGAATTTAGATCCAAAGAGAGAGTTGTCTCGGACAATTATAAATGTGAAACAGATTTATTAAGAGACAGCATTCCGAATCGGTCTGGAGACAGTCCTGACTCGATTCCACTAGAACTTTCCCCAAGGAGAAAAGACATTTCAGAATCTCACACTTCACGGAAACGACATTCATCAACAAACATTTCTCCACCTGAAAAGAAAAGTTGTACGGAAAGTAAAAGTTCTGTGTCTTCGATGAACAGGGATATTGACGTTGAGCGATTATCCCCCCCTACCACAAAACGCAATGACTTTGACAATCACTCTGACGGAGCAAGTGCATTTAGGAAAGTGGAAAAATCTATGTCACCAGTACAAGAACAATTGTCACCAATTCATCATCCAGTCTCATCTAGTTCCGTGTCTCTGTCAAATAGAATGTCTGTGCATAATGCTATTCGAGGCCCAAGTATGTCCATGGCGTCATCAACTGCGACACATCCGGCTGCGCGGGATGCTATGCAACAGAGTCAGCTGCTTGGACTATATATGCCCCGTATTCCGTTGATGCCACAGCTCCCCCTATCGGCCAATCTGGCGGCATCAACAGCCATGTATGCAGAACGGACACCTGTTCGTTTTGCGGAAATGTGTCGAACCCAGGCACCAGGGCCTCTGACAGAGAGCTTTGCAAATGTGAGAAACAGTGACAGTAACAGCGAACTTTTTGTCAAACAACAACAGTTACTGTTTGCGGAAAGGGCAAGCATGAGTTATCCTGCATATTTGAAAAGTCAGAACCCGATGGTGGAAAAAATGATTCACAGTGGGACGAATCCCACTCAGATCAATTCTCCCGTCGCCGCGATGGACCTGTCACAGAACTGGTGCGCCAAGTGCAACGCCACCTTCAGAATGACTAGTGATCTCGTCTATCACATGAGATCTCATCACAAACGAGAGTTCGACCCGGTGAAGAAGAAGCGTGATGACAAGCTGCGGTGTAACATTTGTAGCGAGACTTTCCGAGAGCGGCACCATTTGACGAGACACATGACGTCACACGTATAGAACACGCTTAGACGCTGTTATAGATTATGCTTATATACTGCAGCTGCTAAGGTGTAAACTATGAGTGGATATATATGCGTCATCTCGCGTTAGTCTGTCCATTCTAGGCTTGTGTTACCATGTCTTGTCCCGATATTTCAAGTGGTTATCGTAGAATTGTAATTATCGTTCTATTAATAGGTTGGACTAAAACGACAGAACGTTATAAGGTATGTGTCGCGGTACTTTGTTCGTTAGACAATACCTATGACGATACACTATGAGTAAAAATGATGAAATGTTAATTTTGATATAACAAAGACAGACAAAAGTTGTTTGCATGTATTAAGAAAACTTAAACACGCAACGAGCTTAAATAATGGACCACGAATGACAAAGCCGAAATGTCAAACAATATCAGTCTATGAACCATCCAAACAATTCTCAAGACGACACATAGCAATACAGAAGTAAGTCTATAGTATCACCGGTGATGAAGTCGATCGTTTCATACCTAGTAAGGGACCGGTAATTTATTACGAGGGAGGTTTCAGAGGTTTTTCATGCACTAATGTACTGAAAATAAGGACCCTCCCCTAAAGGTTGTCATATGATGACCCTCTCCATGTCCTTGTACATGTCCTTCCTGACCCTCCCCTAAAAGACAAAATGCAAAAGCACTATATATTGTATTATCGATGTCAATTTTTTCTTGACCCTTCCAAATTATGTGTATTATTTTTTATGACCCTCCACTAGAGATTGTCATATTTTTTCAGTGTCCCTTCCCTGATTCCCACTTACTTTTAATAAATTACCGGTTCCTAAAATTACACGTGCCAAAAGAACATAGAATATGAACGTCGCATCGAAAAAAACATAAGCAATGGCTTATTGGTTAAATGCTTAAATCAACATTCCAGCTTCCCTTTCATGTCTCGAGTGGTCATTTATTCGTTATGACGTGCATGTGTATTTTCAACTCACGTTATGAATTCATTCGGAAAATATAGAAGCAATATATTTTGTTGAGAAAATGACATATTTCGTTATTATATTAAATGTAGAAATTAAATATATTTATGTTGATGTTCTGCTGTTGTGCATTATTATGATACACTGCACTTTGAAATAATTAGTTACGTCATGATCTGCGGTATCAGCTTTGAAATTGCTCTAGGAAGTTAAGTTGATTAGCCCCCGACAATTTGAATGTCCCCGTAGGAGACTAGTGGAACCTTGTGTCCGGTGTCGTGTCCTGTATAACACTGTCCACGCTGCCGTATGATGTGAACTTGCACTAATATAACAGCTATTATAGACATGTTACGTGGTTACAATAAAATTGTATATTATCATAATAATGCGTCTGTTTGAATTAGTGTCTCAATGTAACGCGTGCTCTTCTGTGAGTGAGTACTTACGGTTACAATACTTGAGCTGATATGGAAAGGTTACGATCGCAATGCTTCAAGAGTGAGTGTGTGTGTGTGTGTGTGTGTGTGTGTGTGTGTGTGAGGCAGTTGTAGCAATGTTATGATCGCAATACCTCTTGAGTGAGTAGTGTGTTAGCCTGTTACGACAATGTTACCGTCACAATGTTTCGTGAGTGAGTGAGTGATTGTGTAAGCCTGTGGTAGCAACGTTACGATCGCAATGCTTCAAGAGTGAGTGTGTGTGTGAGCCTGTTGTAGCAATGTTACGATCACAATGCTTCAAGAGTAAGCGACGTAGTGGCATTTTCAATATTTTAAAAGAGCTGCTTTCTATGAAATCGGCTCTAGACCAGAGAAACCAATGGTTGATGGTGTGAGCACCGTCTCACCGTGTGGTTGATGTGTACTTGTAACAGTGAGTGACTGAGAAGGGTTGTACTCGGATTTCAGCATACATTACAGCGGGAAACACCAGAAATGGGCTTCACCAATTTGAGGAATCGAACACAGACTTTGTCGTGACGAGCGAACACTTTAACCACCGGTCCACCCACCGCTTATGTGGACTTCCAAAGTAATCTTAATCAGCTATTATTTTTGACAACAGATTAAAAAAAAAAGGGTGCAGTTTACTAAAAGCCGAAGTATTGATGAATGTGTTGTCTATAAATTACCCATATAGTACACACAAACAAATAAACTTGTCTCACCCATCAAAGCTTTATTGTTGAATCAAATACGATATACAAGTGTTGACAAAATTAGAAATACATGAATTTCCCTACCCATAAACCCCATGCCTACCAGACTATTAAAAACAACTATTACAAATAGACCGACCGACCGTATGTTAACGTAGAGGTCATAACCCACACCAAATAAAAGGCATGAGCGTAGAGAAATACAATTTGGACAGTCGGGCAAGACATTGAAGTTTTCTAAGTGTGAGAATTATGTGTCTGAGGTCGTGGCTAGACGGATGTAACAAAAGAAACGAACACGCCCAAGGGGGTACTTGAATGTGTTTTAACGATAATATTATGGCAAGGGGGAGGCTGCGCAGTAAACTGGATTACTGTCTTTTTATCGCTTACAGTATGAATGATAAAGGGTGAAGGGTTGCAGAATGGAGGTCGTATATTTCGACTTGACAGTCACACAAATGAGATTGTTTTAAACATTTGTGAATTGCTTTTAGAAACAAATATGGCCAAATGACGGTTTTATTTAAAGAGGGAGACACGGTCTGGTTCTATTTCTGAACGTCGCAATACGTGTCATAAATCTGACACCCTGCGTGTTATCAGATTTATTATTAACTGCTGAATTGATATACCTCATACAATTTGAGAGAACTCGGTAAGAAAGTGGTGTTTGAGTGACCTGAACCAAACTTCCCGATTGAACTGAGCTGGGCACTGCTTTGAGGTATTGTGAAAATGTTTGTTCGTTTGTTTTTGTTGTTGTTGTTGTTGTTTAACGCCGCACTCAGCAATATTCCAGCTATATGACGGCGGTCTGCAAATAATCGAGCCTGGACCAGACAATCAAGTGATTGACATCATGAGCAACGTTCCATGCAATTTGGATACGATGACACGCATCAACCAAGTCAGCGAGCCTGGCCACCCAATCCCGTTAGTCGCCTCTAACGACAAGCATAGTCGCCTTTTACGGCAAGCATGGGTCGCTGAAGGCCTATTCTACCCCCGGGATCTTCACGGGTTTGTAGTTGTACGGGAGAGATTATGTCACAATTAACGGGCTTGCGTTCCACGCATTATGAGCGTCCGTACATACTGTGTTCTTTGTAGATATTGGTCCCCATTAACCGATATTGGTCCTCTCGGAAGAGGCGATTAAAAGGATCGGTGGTCAGCTTCGGTCCCCGACGGCGTGGGAAGTTGCTCATGATATCAACCACTGATTTGTCCGGTCCAGACGGGATTGTTTACAGGGCGGATTATTGCTGCGTGAGGCGTGAAACACAAAACTAATCAAACCTTGTAGCCTTTTATTGAAGAAAAGATACGTTACATCAAGGACCTATATAACCGTATATACAAGTCCGTGGTTACATGTACACTGTTATTATTTGGATAACCGATTTCACTCCAATAAAAGGTCAGAATAAATAATTGTAAATTATTACAGCAGTATGTTCAAAATGAACCGGTATTTTGAAATACAAAAATGAAACAAAAGAAAAAGCGCTTGTTCTTGCTGAACACTGTCTCTGAATGGCAGTCTAGAGAGTTACGTCCCTTACTACGTCGATCTATCGTGGGTGTTTTATCATTGGAATGTGGATGATGGAAGAAAAACCTTTCTTCAATTATTTTTTTAAAATTCCCATTTGTTGTATTGAATTCGCCAAATATAATTAATAAAAAAGTAAGTTCATACCATGCTGAAAGATAACTCGACAAGTAATTTAAAGCGGACAATTTGTGAAAGGCAATATGCAGTTGGTAGTGCAGCATTTGTATATATAAACATGCACGCATTAATGACATTCGCTATAATGCATCGGTACCAAATGACCCAAGAATTACATACATGCACTTTCCAATTTATATTATCTACTTTTAATAAACGCCATATAGAACAAACATTTAACTCATGGAGAACAGACAGATAAGCAACGGGCGCACACAAAATATACCTGTAGTCGATTCAATATCTTTAAGATATTCTGCCCATGTACAAAGTAAATTAATTACTTACACATATCGTCGTGCAACATAACAGTAAAACAGACACAGTAAAACCACGGAAACCTCTTCAAACATAAGTCAACTTTAATATTTGTTTGTTTGTTGTTTAACGCCGTACTGGACAATGTTCCAGCTATATGACTGCGGCCTAGAAATAATCGAGTCTGGGCCAGAAAATCCAGTGATTGACGTCACAGGCACCAAATCCAAGCAATAGGGATAATAGGACATGTAATCAACCATTTGTCGAGCCCGATCCATTCGGATAAGTTGCTAGGGATATATATTCCTCCCTGGAATCACCACGGCCATAAATACGAACCCTTTGTTTAATCCGGGCATGTTCATTGGGATCGATAGCATCAGGAATAATGGAGTTTCAGAGTACACAAATATGATAATGATATTTTCCATTTATCACAAATTGCTCTAATAATCGATCGCTATTTTGAATCTGTTTGGTGCGAAGCAACATGCAGTGATGAATTTACATATATTATCAGTTTATTATTGACAAATAATTGGTTGTTGACGTTCTGTTGACATGCTATATGACGTTATGAACGTGATTAGACAAGTTATCCAGCAATAATACTTTGTAAACATCCTTACTTGTCAGAGAACTAGGTGCCCTATTGTTCTAAGGTGACGCTATGCGCTGTTTAAAGTTGCGTCCCTTAGCTTTGCCAGGACCCGCTGGTCGCGGTCGTTGGTTCGAATATCAGATAATGAAAACCCCAATGTACTCACTCACTTGCATAGCATACCAGCAATTCTACAACAGTTAGTAACGTCATTTGCATGCACAATGCATGGATAGGCGTTACTGAAACTATGGACGCGTATCCGTGCAAAAGTCTAAAACAAGTTAATATCATCACGTAGATAATATTTTCATGTACGTAGATAATATTTTCATGCACGTAGATGATACTTTCATGCATGTAGATAATACTTTCATTACGTAGATAATATTTTCATGTACGTAGATACTATTTCCATGCACGTAGATGATACTTTCATGCATGTAGATAATACTTCCATTACGTAGATAATACTTTCATGTACGTAGATAATACTTTTATGTTAGTCGCCTTTTACGACAAGCATGGGTTGCTGAAAAACTATTCTAACCCGGATCTTCACTGTACGTAGATGATACTTTCATCTACGTAGAAGATACTTTCATCTACATATGTGATATTAATATCGTACGTACCGTTACTCAGACTGTGATATTGTCTTGTGAAGTTGCGACCCTAGTTGGATACTAGTTTATACAAACATTGATATTTTAAATAAAGGTGATTCCTTAATTACTGTTAATTTAATCAAATGTTTAGGAGCATGTTGATTGTTTATTTTCATTTGGCCTTTTCCGTATTTTACAACATCCTGAGATCGTTTCAAATTGTCAAACGCTAAAATAAAAACACAAACTGCAGAACTATACCTTCAGTGCATCATAGAAGATGACGAGTATTTATTTCATATAGTTTTTATTGTTTAAGTGATTCTCACCCCTTCATATTCACGTTTCACCTCTTAAACGTAATTTCCTTAATGGCCTTAACCATGTTATGGTTGATATATAATTTCGCTAAAATGTTGAATAATGACATGTAGCTTTTTGTTTGTTTGTAGTTTGAAGAACATTTTGTACTCTCCTCTCTTTATTACGATTGTAAGAGAGTGTGACGTGTGTCAAGCTCCGGTATCCTCGACACATTAAAACGAAGATTTACTTTATGCAATGTTTAGAAAGGACGAAAGTCAAACAAATCGGCCATTATTAATAAAGCCAGAGGTTATATAACTGAACCGGAACTGTTAAAAAACTATTGTTACCTAAGTCGATAATTTGACAGAAGATGATACTTTCTTCTACGTAGATTATTTTATTATGTACGTCGATGAAAGTATCTTCTACGTAGATGTGTGTAGTATCATCTACGTATATGAAAGTGTCATCTACCTATATGAAAGAGTCATCTACGTATATGAAAGTGTCATCTACCTATATGAAAGTGTCATCTATGTATATGAACGTATCATGAACGAATATGAAAGTGGCATCTATCTATATGAAAGTGTCATCTACGTATATGAAAGTGTTATCTACGTAAATGAAAGTGTCATCTATGCATATGAAAGTGTCATCTACGTATATGAAAGTGTCATCTATGTATATGAAAGTGT